CTTGTTAATACATTTAATGTACTATGTTTTGAGGGGTTTTATTTACTACTGTAGTTTTCTCCAGATTTTTAAAAATTACAATCACCATCATCTCTAGCTATTGACCATGTTGGTAGGGGCTGATGGTAATTCAAGATAAATGAAAAATACTCTATCAGAATTTAGGGTTAATTCTATGCGACCAAACATACTTATATTACTGAAGAACACTGGAATAAAGTTTTTTCCTCCAAATTTTGTAATAATGGTGATGGTGAGGAGGATATATTTTTGGGTATTTAAAAATGGCAAAACACTGCAAGATGTTTTTTTATCTTAGGAGTTAATTATACTTGGGAGTAAATTCTGTTGTTATCTTGACTTCTAGTAGGGGACCTTTGCAGAGTCCTATTCCATCTGCAGAAGAAAAGGGCTTTTCTGTTAACAGAATATTCTATAAGCCCAGGATTCCTCTTATGAATTTTTAGTTTTTCTTTCACTTATTCGCTCTCTCTCTCTTTCCTGTACTGCTGTTTGTTCACATGCATTTATTTAATCGCATTTGTACATTGCCCATCTCACATAGTGGTGTACATAATAAAACAATCAAAATACATAAAAACCATTAAAATAACCAATTGAAATTAAAAGATAAAAACAAACAGAATGGAGTCAAAATGTGCAAAGAGTGCATTCCATTAACTGTTATATAGCCATCTAGCAGGCTCCGCTCTGTCATGGGATCCCCATACTAGTTGACAGAGCCATGTTTTAAGGACCTTCTGGAAGTCCAATAGGGTTGGGGCCAGCCTCACCTTGGGGGAATGATATTCCATAGGGCAGAGGCCATGGCAGAAAAGGCTTTCCTACTAGGTCTTGCCCAGCGAAACTGCCTGGCTGACAGGACCTGCAACATACCTTTCCTGCTGGACCTGATAGGCAGGTAGATGTAACTGGGGAGAGGTGGTCCCTCAGATATCCTAGTCCCATGCCATCCCATTATTACCTAATTAGTTCTATGCATTGTGAGATTCAGTGCATTCCAGTATTTTTTGTATTAGGTATGTTTTTGGAATGTGATAATATAATTTATGTTAAATTGCTGCTGTTCTTAAAATTATTAAAAATAAATTCATAAAAAAATCAGAAGGAAATCGAGTAGAGTGCAGTGGAGTAACTCACAGTTCTTTTTTGTACCTCCTCAAAACTGAGTTTCTGAAATCCAGTGGCAAAAGCCCAAACAATAATGATGTGATTGCTCTTTAATCTTTGTTGGGAAACAAAACAAAAATAATACATAAGCTCTCAGACACACTTAACACATTTTAAAAATATTAAAAACCACTTGAAATCTAGTGGTTTTAGTTGGCCCTGCTCACTCAAGTGACATCACTGTATGCGCTGTAGTCTTTTGGTACCACAAAATGGAACAAATAATTATAAACCTGGGCCCATTGCTGCAAAAGATGGTCATCTGTGCAGTGAAGGCTTTGATTTCAGCACTTCATAATTACTCATAATTAGCATGGTTCTTAAGGAAAGGTGGTCTCTAAAATATTTGGGGGATGAATGGCATACAGGAAAGTAAAATAAATAAATGAACATTGGTCCCAAGCTGTGAGGCTCTATGGGTAAACTTTTGAGCCTTTAGCTACGTTCCAGATGCTTGCAGGAAACCAATGAAATTATGCAAAACTGGTTTAAAGATTCTCAGTTCATTTACTTTAAAAGGCTTCAGGTCATCTCAGAAGGTCTCAACAAACTCAGTGGGGTGTAACACATTACATTTGTTAATTGATAAGGTATTCGTAATCTGTCTCACACATAACCTGCATCTACATAACCATCCAGTCTTCTCCTCCCTTTCCCCCCCTCCACCTCATCCCAATTTAAATTCTATTATCAGTTTAGCCACTTCATGTATCTGACAAAATGAACTGTGGTTCTTGAAAACTTATGCCTTTTAATAACACTTGTTGTCTGAAAAGGAACTACTAGACTCTTGATTTTCACCTCATCAGACATTCAATATTAATTAAGTTATGAACCATGGCATACTGAATTTTGTTTTAAAGGAAAAAAAAATTGAAATTCCTGACCTTGGCTAATAGAAAACATTAGAGTTTGTTTTAGATTTTTTCCCCCTTGCTGTGTATGGAAACAAAAGTTGCATTATTTTGCTTGCTTATGGAAAAAGTAGCTATTCAAGTAGTTGACAAATAAAAGTTAAAACTCATAGTTGCTTTGTTAGATAACTTGTGTTTTTCTCTCCTGGTTTTTTTATATATTTGTAAATTGGAAAATATTTTTCTTTGCTGCATACTCATTTAGGATGTTTCCCAGAAACAACAACAAAAACAAAAACTTAGAATGCATAATATTCACCAATATTTTCTTTAACCCACAGCCTGGTTTCACAAAGTTTTTGTGGCAAGCTGGAGAAATAAATAAAGCATTTAGTTTTTACTACACAAACACAGGAAATGAAATCACATTTAAGGGCATATGATTGCTTCATATGTCTGTGTCTTTGGGTGAAAAATTATCCCTTTGCTGAGCTATTCAGACTTATTTCTACATATATTTTTAAACACTTGTGCCATCTTTCTTTAATCTTGTGACCTTTAGATGTGTTGAGATTACAATGCCTGAAATTTTCAGTTAAATTAGCTGTAAATTCGGGGAATTGTGGTCGTAACATTTAGAGGGCGCTAGGTTGGAGAAGGCTGTGTTACATCATTAGCAAGAAGTGGTCTTTAGTCTGTGAAATTTGTGAATTGCCTTTCTACTGAAGCAAGTACTAAAGATGGCTAACAAAGGGGGAAATCCATAAAGACAAGCAGAATTAAAATTAGTAATATAATCAATAATAATAAAATAATGAGAACAAGTCAAACTAACAAAACCTTTGTGAAAGAAATATATCTTTACAGAATTTCCAAATGGAATTTATGAATGAATATATTCATAGTCAGAAAGCAGTGGAGGAGGAATGCCTTCTCCCACTGTTAGTGAGGACATCTTCAGAAGGTCACTCCTTCAGATCTTAATGTTGGAGAGATTTGTAATGGATGAACTCCCTCAGATAATCCCTCAGATAAAGAAACACATGGATAAATGAGTTAACCCATAGGGTTGGTGAAAGAAACCAGTGCCAGAAATTACAATGGAGGGAACTGCACCTTCATGCTTACAGGTCAATCAGCTATTTTAGAGGTGTCTTCCTAACCTAGAGCTTAGTCAAGCTGTGCCAAGTCAAGTGTCAAGAAATTCTGCTGAGGTCTTGCCAATGAATTTGGCACTACATGTTAATAGCATACTTTCAGGTGATAGAATTATTCAGTGGGGAACACATTAAACAATAATACCTTATGCTTTGGAAGCAAAGTAATTTATGCAACATTAGCATATGTATGTAATTCTACTTAATTTACATAATTAAGTTGGCCACAGAATTTGAACTTCTTTGGAACAGAAATCAGTGTTGTTTGACCATTATATTAACCTTGAGTTCAGTGTCATGCATAAAAAATAATTCCATTTGCATGACAAAAGAAAATACTTATTTGGAGTAAGTTACAGATTTTGATACCTGACACTGATATACAGTAAGAAATATTGAAAGTTGAACATTGTATGATGTTTGATTTTATTTGCTACATGTTCTAAACCATGAGCAAGAAACACCTTTAATGTTTTGCTCTTAGGCTGGAGGTGGGAGTACTACTTTGAACATAAAGAACATTACACCTTAAAGGCATTGCTATCAAAATATCCTTTTTTTTTTCCATTTGCGGTTTACGAAGGGAAGCAGTGAATTATATTGTTCCTTTTATTTATTAATCTGTGTTGAATAAAGCTCTCTGTGCATGTTGCTTACTTAATATACTTTGGTTAATAT